GGCGGGGGGTGAGGCCGCGCCGGGGCGGCTCCGGGGGCGTTCGGCGGCGGGGCCGGGGCCGCTCGGGGAGCGCGCCCGCCGAGGGACAGCCGGACCGCCCGGGCAGCTCCGGGCACACGGGTCGCGTTCCTCGCGAATTTCCCTAGCTCCGGTGGCGAGTTTGGAACCGGGGCTGTGGCAGGCGGGGAGCTCCGCCTCGGCGCTGGCATCCGGCAGCGAGAGTCGCAGCTCCGTAACGGTGCCGTGCGGGGCTTCTTCGGAAAGTATAAGCACTTAGGATTTGCAAAACCTTCGGATTTAAGGAACTGGGTTATCGTTAGAAATCACAGCTGTCGTTTTAATTCGAAAGACAGTGTTGTGACACCTCCTTGCCTCGCAGTGTTTGGGATTGTGTCATGTTAAAATACGTGTTTGTGTTCCGTCTGTTAAGGATGGCAGAGTGTATTTGTCTTTTAAGATGTGGATTAAAAATAGAGATTCTGAAATGAATGTGGGAAAGTGATGTTGTCAGTTATGGCAAGAAATGGGATTGAGCTACCTGGTGTCAAAAGCGTGGTGTCCCAGCCTTCAGTTGGTGAGAGTTAGCAGCATCTCCTGCACACCCGAGTGCGAGCCGTGCAGGAGCCGGCTCTCTCCTGGCTCAGGAAATGAGCGCCTGGAGAGCCGTGCCACTGTCCTGGGCACGGGGTCACTGGGGTCTAGACCGGGATCCTGTCAGGGTATTCCTAGCGAAGTCTGAGAGAAGAGAGGCCACCTATTGCTGTTCACATTGGGACTGATTTTGCGTTTGACAAGGCAGCTTAGTCAGAATAATTTTATTGCACAAATTCACAATGATCAGAATCACCACAGTCGCACCTCAAGAAAGGAGCAGAGAGAAGCACTTTGTATTTTTCACTACCAAGTTATAAAACAAATACAGATTTAATTGACAAAACAGTGTTTTTTTTTTTTTTTTGGTTTTTTTTTGTTGGGGTTTTTTTTGTTTTTTTTTTTTTTTTTTTTTTTTTTTCCCAAAGCAAACACTTGGAAGTTTAATGTCTTTATTTTTATTTTTTGTATGTGTGAAAGCAAATGAGCGCCTTCATTGCTTCATTGGTCCCTGAGGAGTACTGTGAGACATAAGAAACATCCTTCTGCCTGAGCAGACACCTCTTGAGTTACCAGCTATTATGCTGTAGTGGGTGGCCAGTTGGTTTCCTGGGTGGCCAGCTGGTGGCCCAAGGAGAGAAGCAGGCAGTTCTAACTGGCCACTGGAAACAGTACCATGTGTTGGGTGGAACCAGCCTAGGGCTGTTGCTGAGCTGAAGCTCATGAGCAGCTTTATGGGAACAAGATGCTGGGAGCTGGGCTGGCTCTCTGAGGAGTTGTGTCCTGCTGTGCTGGGGCTGCCGGGCAGTCACAGAAAGCAACCTGTGTGCAGAGGCCGGCTGTGTGCCTCCCTTCATGGCCTCTCCCAGTGACCGTGTCCTTCACTCACCCTTCTTGAGTTCTGTATGTCCCACACTGCTGCCTTCAAATCTCCTTGCAGTCCCTGCTGAAGGATGCCCATAGCACCTGCTGCTACCTGGGACAGCCTTCCCACAGTTGGTGGTAGGCATCCAGCCTCCAAATCACCAGGTGGAAAAACGACTTCCAAACCTCTGTTGTTGGCACTCTGCAGCTCTGGGATGCAGCTCAGTTAGTGCTGGTGGGAAGGAACTGAGGGAGCTCTGTTCCAGCAGGCAGGGCTGGAATTCTTGCTTGAGAGGTGTGACACTGGTTATCTTCCCTGCTTATATCCATGTACTGGCCAACTAAAATACTCCATTAATATTAGGTTTAATGGGACAAAAAATTTTTTTCATGGGATCGTAGGGAAATCTGATAGAGATGGGAAAGAAGTGTTAAAGGAGTATTAAATGGTTTTGATAGCATAGAGAGAAGTAGCACATGGAACCTGGTGATGTGAAGAAACTTGTTAGATGTCAGGTGGGGTTCCTTTGGGGGCAGGAGCCACCTCTTCCTCTGTAGTAGCTCATGGAGCACAAAAATCAGATTATGAAAATGCTGTGAGTTGCATAACTGGCCCGTCCAGGTGAACTTTGCAAGCACTGAAATGTTTTGAAGCAGAGGGGACAGCAGAGCATTCTGTTTGATTTGGAAAAGGTGTAAAAAAATCTACTTGCCACAGACAAAGTAACTATATATGCTTTAAGGGCTGCAGACATCCTCTATTTTACAATGAAGTGCAGACAAGGCCAGTGTATGCTCTAAGAGGAGCATGCACTTACACCACTTTTAGACTAAAAATGTCTAAAATGTGCAGTTACATGTGCACAGCTACTACAACTGGCCCTGCCAGTGTGGTGTTGGGGCACAGGAACTCCTTGTTAGCTGGGTATGCAGTGTAGCTGCCCAACCTTGTAGGGCAGGATCTGAGACTGAAACATGGTTCGCAAAAGTTGCTTTAAGAGTTGCAGTTGGGAAAATACTAACACAAAGGTGTTAGACACTATGTATCTAGATTCAGCTCCACAGATGTCAAAAAGTGTTGATGGTCTCGTTCTGCCCTGAAATAGGAACATAAAAAGATTTCTTGATAGGAAGGGTGTGGGTGTATTCATGCCTCTTCACAAGTGGGAAGACCTCTTGGTGACAGAGAATGTTAATTTTGAGTAACATTCAAGCCAAATTTAGTGGGCTTTCCCATGAATGTTATTGAACCACACTCTGCAGCTGCATCTCATTGTGGCTTCTTCATCATGGAAGAAAATATGCAGTTGATCTGCACAGTTGAATTTTAATATTTTAATGATAGCCCTTCCAAAAGTAAAACAGCAACTCAGGCTGCTGAGAAAAAACCAGTCAGGAACATGAACCTGTGAGTTTAGAAAGACCAGTGACACACAGGAGCTTGCTGCAGACCTCTCACACATCCCTCCATTCCTCAGCCAGCCATCTGCTGTCGTGGAGGTGAGAGGTGTTCCTGGGCTGGACTCTGCCCATCCTGGCACTCAGCTCTGCCCAGTGCTGCTTGCTTTTCCCCAGCCCTCTGGAGGATGGGTCACACTGGTGGTGTGATACTGCATGTCTGCGTGACAGAGCTGGGCTGCACTGCTGCCACACAGTCTGACCTTGCAGTAGGATTGTTTAGTGCCAGTTAAATGCTTTTCTTCAACGTGACAATCCACACTGACTTGACTGATCACTGAGTATTTTTCACTGGAGCCATAGGTAGGTGTTTCAGGAGCTTAGGACCATCCTGTTGTCCTTCCCCTCTTCTCTCCCAGCCATATAGGAAGTCATCCTGTGAGATGAGAAGAGAAGGGGACCAGCTGTTAGCCTTGCCAGGGCCATGGCCCTGCAGCTGTGGTGGAATCCTCCTTGTGCCACCAGTAGGGCCAGGAGCAGGCTGACCTCAGCAGCGGGAGCACGTGAGTCAGGTGAGAGGATGTCTTGCTCATCAGGACAGTTTGTGTGCTGGACAGGAGAGTGGACAATGACCAGTGCACCAACCATGCAGGTGACCTTATTTCTGGACGAGTCAGCTGTGGTTGCTGTTTTTAATGGGCGGCAGTCCTCTGTTGTAGAGTAGTGATCTGCACTGCCATCAGCCTGTGCTCCTGTCCCACCTGCTTGATTCATACTGGCACACTGCTTGTGGTAGAATGTCACCCAGACATGGCCTCTGCAATGCCTTTGTCCATAGACTGATTTTTCCACTCAGTACCAGTAGACCTTACGACAGCCATCAGTTTGAACGTCATCTTCAAAACAAGTGCTGTAAGATGGTTGAGAAAAGGTGGACAGGCTGAGCACCCTTGCTCCAGAGAAAAGAGATCAGGGAGGAATTTGTCTGCGGATACACCCAGAGATGTGGTCCGAAGAGGACAAGGATCAAATACCCCTGTTGGTCAAGAGTCAGGCTGTTAATAGGTTTAAGCCACAGAAGGAAAACTCCAGTCTGAAAACTAAGAGAACTGTATAACTGGAGGAAAAGTTAGACAGTGGAACATGTTGCCAAGACAGAGGTTGTGAAACTGGAGATATTTGAGGCTAGGCTAGACACCCATCCATCAGGGATGGCTTTGGAATAACTGAGTGAAGCCAGTGAACAATTCAAACAGCTTGACTAGATGACCCAGTAATAGTCCCATCCAATCCAAATATGTTTGAGACTTCAGAAATGTAGTTGGCAGCTTGTCCCCTTCCAGCACAGTTACGATGTGTTACTGCCAGATGTACCATCAGTACTTTATGCTAAAGCCAGTGATGCATAAGATTGTAGCTGAAGCCAGCATGTTTAATAGCTTTTTTTCCCCTACTAGGTTCACCTTGCTCTTAATCCATGTGAAGATCCGTTGGAAACACCTCTAGAAACCCAAGAGTTTTCAGTCTCCTAATAAGTTCTGTTGTGTCCAAGAACAGCCTGCCCAAATGAGCAAGACATCCCAACAGAACACCACCACAGATGCGAGCGGAGTAAGTGTGATTCACACTCAAGCACACTCCAGCGGTTTGCAGCAGGTTCCCCAGCTGGTGCCAGTTAGTCCTGGTGGTGGAGGCAAAGCTGTGCCTCCGAGCAAACAGGGAAAGAAAAGTTCCTTTGTGGATAGAAACAGTGATGAGTATCGTCAGCGCAGAGAGCGGAACAACATGGCAGTGAAAAAGAGCCGGTTAAAAAGCAAGCAGAAAGCACAAGACACGCTGCAAAGGGTCAACCAGCTCAAAGAAGAAAATGAACGTTTAGAGGCAAAAATTAAACTCCTGACCAAGGAGCTGAGTGTACTGAAAGACTTGTTCCTTGAGCATGCCCACAATTTTGCAGATAACGTGCAACCTGTTGGCACTGAGACCACCACAACAAATCCAGAAAACAGTGGACAGTAGACACCTGCGACCTTTTGAAACAGACTCTTGAGCTGCAGCTTGTCTGCAGTGCCCGTGCAGTAACCCAGCAAAAACTGTACCTGTAGTCACTGTTTTGTGGAGATTTTCTTCTTTTAGATTTAACACTGAAGATTTGTTAACAATTAAACCAGAAACTGGTTAACTGTTTGTTTTAAATATTTTTCTCCTCAAAGATTTATGCAGATCTGAACTCCTAGCCAACAAGAAATGTAATATTTAGGAAATAACATTTTCACAGGAATATTCACTTACCATGTTAGACTTTGCATAATGGGAGGAATCCAGAAGGATGGCTCATTGTAGTATCAGAAACATGTGATTGGACAGAACGTCTTTTAAATACCTGTTAAGAGTATTTAGCCCTTTGTTTTCTCCATTTCATATTACAAACTGCAAAGGCTGTGGAGAATTTTTGCTTCTTACTATAAATCTGTAGAATTTAAGTCCTATGAAGCACCATGTAGGTCCCTCCTGCCCAGTTATAGTTAGTGGGGAGGTTGTAGTTATAATGAGCTGGGATGCTTACCAATGTTCACCAGAAAAATAACAATATACTCCGATGATATATACAGGCAGTTGGCCTCCAAATGGCAGGTGAAGCATCCTGTACAAGAGGCAAAGCAGCACACTGGCAAAGCCCTTTATTTAAGCTTGTATTTCATATTGCTCACATAGTGACTGGGGCCTTATGAGAACAAGAGCTTGTTTTCACAAAATTTCAAAATGCTAACAAAAAACTCTGCTCTGTACAATTGCATTCTTGCTGGGAAGGAAGTATTAAGGAGAACAAAAAGTTCAAGCAGCTTGACTTGGAAGGGGCAGGAGAGCAGGCATTGAGCTGGGATGTATGGATCACTGCTGGTTGACATTGATCTTACAGAAATTTACAGGAATTTTAAAAATAAATGGCCCTAGTAACTGATTCGGTGAAATTTCTACAGCCATCATACATCTGTTTGAAGGAGTATCTTTGGTCTTGTTTTATTTCCATAGAAGTTTTTCTGTAGCAACTTTTTTATTGCTACTGCTTAGTCTTTGCCATGATCCATAATGCAGTGCTATGTGCTATACTGAGGATTTAAACAAAGTAAAGCAGGAACTTTGATGTAACTTTAATTTATTTTAATTTTTAAATATTTCATTGATGGTATGGTTATTTTACATTTAACCTGTGTGTCTGTTTTGTAGATTACTACACTGTCTTAATTTCCCTCTTACACTACCTTTGTCCATAGATTATTTTGGAGGATGCTTGTTTGCTCTGTATCTGCACTTAGGAAAAAACTTGGATGTTATCTCTATGAAGATACTGTTAGAGAATGAAACCTTGAGAAGTTCTTTTTTGAATTTAAACTTTTAATACATGTGGAAAACTTTGATGGATTGTTTTGGATTATGTTAGACTTTTTACAGGTATGTTTTTTGATTCTAACTGCATCTGAAGTTGGTAGGGTTGAAATACCAGAAGCTAATAAAAATGTTTTGCTTGTAGTGGCCTCATTTTTCCCATCCCTTTTCTATCTCCCTCAAGTGCAGAGTTGCCCAAGTCACACAGCTATCTTGGAGAAATCAGTGCAAGAGTCTCTCTTCCCCTCTTTCACTCAGGTTTCTGCTCCATGGAAGCAATCAGAAACTCACTACAGTTCTGTCTAAATGTCTGATTTAACAAAAAATTTAAAAAAAAAGGAGAAATTTTAGATTGTAAATATATGGCATTTAGATAGGGGGCAGGGAGAGAGGCAGAACACCAAAGATGACAAGGAAGAAGATGACCTGAAGGCCTCTCTGTTAACTGCACGTCCCCTGGGGGCCAGGCCCATCTCTTCCCTGCGTCTCTGACCTGCACTGGTCTGTCCCCTTGTCCTGAAGTTGGTTTGGCAGGCCGGTGTGGGGCCCTTCTCTGCCAGTCTGAAGAGGGGCTGCAAATCCTGGCTGTTTGTGGTTTTGGTGGAAATTATTTCGTAGATCTCTTGTGAGTGGTGGCGATCCTCTTTCCGAAGCTCTCATGGGTGACTTTTCCACTTGATGCTCCTGACAGCTCCAATCCCATTTCCTTCATGTTTAAAACCAAAGCACTGAGTTTTGAAAGTCATGTGTTTGGAAAATGAAATTTCTGGTCTATCAGCCACTGCACTGAAGCTGTGGTTTAAGCCCAACTGGAAAATAAGCCCCATGCAGTCACTCCAGCCCCCTCAGGTGAGAGAGCCGAAATGCAGACTGGGGTTGAGATAACAATTGACTGTTACTGGAACAATTGACAATTGAACAGCAACCAGAGGAGAAAACAGCCAGTGACAGCAGCGTGTGACAGAGGGTGATGTCCAAAGCACTCAGAGCGGGACAGGGCCAGGAGTGACTGGAACACAGGGCCAGGAGTGACCAGAACACAGGGACAGGGCCACGAGTGACAGGAACACAGGGCCAGGAGTGACCGGAACACAGGGCCAGAGACAATGTGACAGCGACCCTGGCCTTGGGACAGTGACCCCAGGCCTTGGGGACAGCAGGACGATGATTCCTGGCCTTGGAGACAGCAATCTTGGCCTTGGAGACAGCGGGACAAGGATCCCTGGCCTTGGGGGCACCAGGACAAAGATCCCTGACCTTGGTGACAACAGGACAAGGATCCCTGGCCTTGGCTGACACTGGAACAAGGATCCCTGTCCTTGACTGGCACCGGGACAATGATCCTTGTCCTTGGCTGGCAGCAGGACAAGGCCCGGGAGCAGCAATGGCTCTGTGCAGCACCTCACTCGTGATTGTAACAAATCCACGTTTCAAACGTGCCCCCAGCGAGAGGCTGCAAGAAAGGGCTCAGGCTTATTCCAAGTCCCCCCCTGCCAAAGCAGCTCCAAGGGACAAGGGTCGTTTCTCCCAAGGTGAAGCAGCCCAGGCTGTGTGGCACCAGAGAACCTCCATCTCACCCTCTGCTGCAGGGCACAGAAAATTTCAGTGTGGACCTATAAAAGTTAAGATTTTCCTTTTGACTCATTATTCTTAACTCCAGTCTGTGGCAGAATCCAGTGCCTGTCCGTACACAAGGAGTTCCAGCACATTTCAGCAGGAAACCTGATTCCCATTTTGTCACTGTCCCCCAAGGGCAGGGGTCTGCCCTAGCCCCTGTGAAGAAGCTGCAGCAGGTAAATCAGCAGGTAAATTCAGAGTGCACCCAACCTCGGGGAGCCCCAGCAATTTGCTGGAACAATTTACATGTATCATTTCAGAATTGCTCAGACGAAATTTGCTCGGTGTAAGACACATTCTGTTACTTCTGTGCCAATTCTATTCAGGTCTGTTTGTGCCAAGGGGAAAAGGCATTTGTGAAAACATGACAGAGTATAAAATATCTTGATGCAGTCAAAAAGAAAATTTGCCATAACCTGTACTTTCACCCCATTAATACACTTAAAATTATTAACCACCACTTTTTAAAGTATTAAATATCACTTTGCCTTTTTAAAAAAAGGTTTATTCCCCCTCCCTTCCCCAATTTAGGAAAAAAACCATCTAATTCACTTTTTGCTTAAGTGGATAAAAATGATCATAATTAAAGAACAATCTTCTGGAATGAAGGATGAAATTTACATTCACGGGGTTCGTGGGCCTGGTGATGAAGGAGAACGGCGAGGGTGGCAGAGCAGCGGCATCCATCCCCGCCCGCAGCAGCGGCGGCGCTGCCCGGGCCCGCGGCGGCCGCGCCCCGAGCGCAGCCGGTTCTGCTCCGCAGAGCCCGCCCGGCCCGACCGGTTCTGCGGCCCGGCCCCGCTCCTGCCGACATCCAGCAGGCAGGAAAGCTCCGCACTGCTCCGGGGGACGGCACACTTGAAACAGTTCCAAAGCTCTCCAAATGTGCGCAGTGTTGCTGTAAAGCAGTAACTGCTCCCCCGAGCAGCAGCAGGAGCAGGTTTAGGGGGCCCAAAGCACGGAGCCATCCTGCCACAGGAAAACGCCTGGCTGTGGAGGGAACGGGGCTGAGGCCACGAGCGCCGTTTTGCACTGAAAAAACCTGAGTTTTGGGGGCAGATGAGTTCAGGGCAATGCCAGTATAATCTCTGTGTTCTCACATCTGCAAGGCTACCAAGCAAAGTCTGATGTCCTTGTGCAGGTACTCCATTTCAGAGGTGGAAGATTCCGGTCACCACAGCAGGAACATCAATACAAGCTTCTGACCTCACAACCTCCCCTCCTGAAAAAACTTTCCCTTCACAGTCAAGAAGTCAAGTGCAGCAATTCCGGCACTTGCCTCATACAAACCAATGTCAAGAAACCTCTAAAAAAATGTAAATAAGCTTATTTATTAATTGAGTGACATGAATGAAGTCCTCTGGATTGTTTCACAATGTTTCTTTGGTCTCCCATGTGGAGTTTCCTACACAGCAATGGATCACCAGGCTGTTGGGAATAAAGGGCAGGTTCTTGTCCCACAGACCAACCCGCCCAGCAAAAGGAGCTCTCCTGGAGCAATGTTTATGAGGATTTTTGAGGAAATGATTTCAGGCCTAAATGCAGTGCTGGGGCAGGCACCAAGGCAGTGGCAGTGGCTTCTGACACCACCCAAGCCCAGGCTGTGCTGTGCCCCCCAGGGAGCTCACAGTCCGTCCCACTGCCCACGGGTCAGGGCCTGGTGCGAGCAACAGAGCTGAGCTGCTGCCACCAAGGGCTGAGACACAGCTCAGCTGGTCAGAGGGAAATCCTTCAGAGGGAAATCCTTCAGAGGGAAATCCTCACCGGGCAGGCAATGAGACCCAGAAAGGCCCTGATGCTCTGCTGCGGCTTCAGCTCCCCCTGACACAGCAGAGGGATGTTCTGAAGTGGCTTTGCAATCAAACTGCAACAGAAGCTGAATATTGATCAGGAGTTTTGATGGGTAGAGTGAGAAAGATTATTTTTATGTAGTTACCAGCACCTAGTGCTATTTTATGATGCAAGAAGTGTATTTATTATTCTGCAAGCTGATGAATATCTACAGTAAAGGAAAGCTTCTCTTGGTAATTTAAATCTTGCATGAGTGGAAAATAATTTTGTGACCAACATCAATATGTTTGTATCCAAATAATGTTTACATTATTTCATTTTGAACTAATACTGAACAGTTAAAAATAACTCTATCATGCTGCACAGCATATGCTGCTGAATGACCACGAGCCCTGCAGCAAAGATATTCCCTTCTTTCAACTTTTAAGGGTCATGAACACCACAGCAATCTGTGTTTTTAATGAACAAATCTAATGAGCATGGGGATGTGTTTGAAGGATCAGTACAGCCACTATCCAGAGAAGAAAACTCTGGCTAGTGAAGGGTCAAAGTTTGCAGAACACAAATTGGTAGTAGGGTCAGATAAAAAAGCAGGAACTGGAGCAGAAAAGTAAAATGACCACAAAGTTGTGAACACAAATGATGCCAAGGTGAATTTTAATAAAAATTTGATTTTGCTTAGTGCATGGATACAGATCCGTAAGAAAAATGTCATTATGTTCACTGAGAACAACAGATTTTTATTTCTGTTTTTCACAGTACTTGTGATGAAGTTTAAAAAAGGACTTGCTCATAGCTTTCAGATAATCCATTTGGTGTTTTAGAGTCCCAATCATCAAAATTCAGATTTAATTGCAAGATACATCTGAGTTGAGATCTGACAGAAGTATAAGCCCCACTGATAAGGCAGCAGGGTTATTTGGCTGCCACTCGGTCACGTAAACTGCCGATTGCAAGCAGCAGTTGATTTACCTGGGCTTTCTACCTTCATTTTTAATGCATTAATTTTTCCAGCTGCCTCTCTTGCTATTAAGAATTGGATGCATTTTATTTTATATGCTGCAGCATTAAATCAGAATGATGACTGATTAGTTGAGGCAATAAGTATCATCCTGAAGTTTACTGCTTTTGGCTGGAGAGGCAGCCAAATGATTTGGCACTGCTCTGGCCTTCTGCCATGAAAGCCTCTATTTCTTCCACAGTCCGTGGCACACACGTGAGCAGCTCCATGCCCGTGGCTGTCACCACGATGTCGTCCTCGATCCGCACCTGCACAGGGAGCACACCAAGGAGTCACCAGGGAGTTCAGGTGGGCAGGAGAAGCCTCAGGCTGCAGCAGCAGCAGCAGAGAGGGCACACGGTGCTGCAGCCCAGGCAGAGCATCCCCCTGCGAGCACGGAACTGCCACCACCAGCACCTTGGCACGGGGCTCTGCAGCTCCAACTCCCCTTGGCCCTGGCCCCTCCTGGGCTCACAGCAGCTCGGTGGTGACCCCGGCTGTGGTGGTGGCCTCACCCTCTGCTGCAGTGGGTACACCAGGGACAGTCTGAGCAAGGTGCTGAAGCAGTGAGTTCGTGCTGTGCCATGCTAGGGGCCAGTAAATCTCAACCCCCTGAGAGCAGGAGCAGTTAAAAAGAACATTCTTCCCTGGATCTGCCTCCAGCCTTCTCAGCACATGCCTTGCTAGGGACAGTGCCTCCTGATGCCCAGTGTCTGCCCTCAAAGCTGTCCTGTTTC